TTAAAATTTTAAATAAATAATAATCCTTAAGGTTGCCAGTAATAATTAATAAAAAACCACTCCTCAATGTTTAAAGTCGACCAGACTGGCAATAATTTATTATAAATAATTATTTGAAATACAACAACGTTTCGGCTGTCATTGCAGCCCTTTTCAAGTACATCTATAAAAAGTTCAATCAAAATAATTATAATTTAATACACTTATTCGCAACAATTAATTATACATTTAAAAACAAAAATGTGTTACATACCAAATTTAAAACAGTAAATCAACTTCTATGCAAACTACCGACAATGTTAACGCTTGTTTTGATGAACAATGCAAGACTGACAGAAGTAAGCACATATTAAATAGATGTTAACTGTTCACAAGAATCTTAGTCACTAAGCGTTAAGAAGATAGAGACGAAACTAAATGTGTCTTTCGTAATTTAAATCGTCATAATAAAGTCAAATAAATAAAAATAAATAAATAGGTGGATATAAAAATAAAAATAAAATTAAAAGTAAAAATAAATATAAAACGACTTAAATAACGTCAAGAACACGATCATAAATCCCACTGAAATTCTCCGTATCTTTCTGTAAATTAATACTTTTTCCTTGTTTTTTTATGTAAAACATTTCTGCAATTTCTCTTTTTCTTGTCTGTTTTTCCTCATGCAGAATCACCGGAGAATCCCAACGGAACTCATGATCGTTGCAAGTCCGATGTAAACTAACGACAGAATGCAATGTCTTGTCTTTTTTTATGTTATTTCTATGTTCTTTAATGCGCGTTTCTAAATGTCTCTTTGTCTGTCCTATATAAGCCGAATCGCAATTCGCACAATCAATTTTATAAACAACATCAGTTCTTTTTAAGTTTTCGATCCCATCTTTACCTCTTTTTATCAACGTGTCCAATTTTTTTGGGACAGTATACAAAGCATCAATTCCACTTTTATTGATGTAACGCGTAATATTCTCGCTAAGATCTTTAATGTAAGGTAACACAATGCAATTTCGCGCATCAAATTTATTTCGATTGGGCGAGTTAAGATTACCGCCAAATTTAATTGCTCGAAGTCTTTTATTGATGTTTTTGTTAATAATTGTTAACGGGTAACAATTAATAAGGATTCTTTTGATTAAATTAATATTTTCTTCATGAAAAATAGGGTCAGCGAGTAAAATAGCCCTATCAACTAGGCTTGTAATCACGCTAATTTTATATCTCATAGGATGATTTGACAGAAAATTAATATAGCGGCCTGAAAACGTAGGCTTTCGGTACCAATTAGTCGTCAATCTACCACCGATACGTATAACGTTCGTATCCAAAAAACTCAGAGAACAATTTTTCTCTAGTTCGAACGTAAACTTAAGTCGAGTGTGGAAACCATTGAACACACGAAGCATATCCTCAATTTTTCCTTTCGGAATAATTGAAAAAATATCATCGACGTACCTAAAATAACAATAGGGTTCGAAATCCAATTGACGCAAACAGTATGATTCCAAATCGTCCATAACAATGTCAGAAAGAATCGGAGACAATGGAGACCCCATCGGAGAACCGAAAACCAGTTGAAATTATGACGCGGAGAGGGTAACCTACCTTATGAATCTTTGGTAAACCTAGTTGATAGGGCTATTTTACTCGCTGACCCTATTTTTCATGAAGAAAATATTAATTTAATCAAAAGAATCCTTATTAATAATTGTTACCCGTTAACAATTATTAACAAAAACATCAATAAAAGACTTCGAGCGATTAAATTTGGCGGTAATCTTAACTCGCCCAATCGAAATAAATTTGATGCGCGAAATTGCATTGTGTTACCTTACATTAAAGATCTTAGCGAGAATATTACGCGTTACATCAATAAAAGTGGAATTGATGCTTTGTATACTGTCCCAAAAAAATTGGACACGTTGATAAAAAGAGGTAAAGATGGGATCGAAAACTTAAAAAGAACTGATGTTGTTTATAAAATTGATTGTGCGAATTGCGATTCGGCTTATATAGGACAGACAAAGAGACATTTAGAAACGCGCATTAAAGAACATAGAAATAACATAAAAAAAGACAAGACATTGCATTCTGTCGTTAGTTTACATCGGACTTGCAACGATCATGAGTTCCGTTGGGATTCTCCGGTGATTCTGCATGAGGAAAAACAGACAAGAAAAAGAGAAATTGCAGAAATGTTTTACATAAAAAAACAAGGAAAAAGTATTAATTTACAGAAAGATACGGAGAATTTCAGTGGGATTTATGATCGTGTTCTTGACGTTATTTAAGTCGTTTTATATTTATTTTTACTTTTAATTTTATTTTTATTTTTATATCCACCTATTTATTTATTTTTATTTATTTGACTTTATTATGACGATTTAAATTACGAAAGACACATTTAGTTTCGTCTCTATCTTCTTAACGCTTAGTGACTAAGATTCTTGTGAACAGTTAACATCTATTTAATATGTGCTTACTTCTGTCAGTCTTGCATTGTTCATCAAAACAAGCGTTAACATTGTCGGTAGTTTGCATAGAAGTTGATTTACTGTTTTAAATTTGGTATGTAACACATTTTTGTTTTTAAATGTATAATTAATTGTTGCGAATAAGTGTATTAAATTATAATTATTTTGATTGAACTTTTTATAGATGTACTTGAAAAGGGCTGCAATGACAGCCGAAACGTTGTTGTATTTCAAATAATTATTTATAATAAATTATTGCCAGTCTGGTCGACTTTAAACATTGAGGAGTGGTTTTTTATTAAAATTTTAAAATATTGTTTATTTTCTAAATTTCTTATTTTATTTTTGGAATCAGATTTGGATATAATTCTTTCTTTCGTGTTCAAATATTTTCAAAACTATATCGTAAAGTCTAAAGGATAAAATGTGTATCATGGCAAAATGCAAGTAATAATTCATTTACACGGATTGAATTTTCTCTTAGAATTTATCCTAAAAATCATGGTAATCCTGAGATAATATATTGGAAAAATTTTATAAGAGTTTCTCTGATTAATATTTGCCATAATAAAAAATATTAATATGTACATATATAGTAAAATTAATCGAACATATTTTTCTTAACAGGATCTAAGAGAAAATTCTCTGTGTAGAAATATATATAATGTAATAGAAGCAATAAAATAAATTAATATGTAACTGATGTTTGTCTGACTGTCAAGATTATGATAAAATAATATAAAGCAGAAAATATTTTTTTTTTTTATAGGAACGAATTATCTATGTAGAAACAATTATACAAAGTCACGATAAGAGACAAGTGTTGCACTTTGCGTGCAAAGCGTTTTGCATTAAGTTTCTCTGAGAATTTATTTTCGATATTAACCGTAGTTCACAATAATTAAATATATAAATATATAATATGCGTAAAAATCTAGAGTTAAATTTTTTTGCGAATTAGCTTCCGTGAATTGTGTTCTCTTCACAAAACAATAGTAATAAAAAAAATAAACATTACGTATACGTTCACCATATAATCGATACGGCGATTAAATTTTACGATGGTATTTTCTCACGCATAATTATGCCATGCAACTTACATTAGTGTAACGTTATTAGCTAAAAAGAAAAAAAATATATATATTCCAAATATAACTGCTGAAGCGATCTAGGTGATTGCCCTAAGGCTATGTGCGTGCGAGATTCTTGGCCGAGCAACAATCTTGCCGGCCATTAGGTTGAAATTAGAAGGCTGTCAGTCATACACGACGGTCTTGCTAGAATCTCATTATTTCTCACGTCCAAATTGGACCAGCACTTAAGATACCGTTTGTGTGGATTAGATGGTAGTTAATATGTAAAACTTTCTGCAGAGCCATAGCAGACTTTTACATGTAACTTTGCATGCAATAGACTTCTAAGATTCCTCGCTTTGTTCGAACTCGAATTAAATGACAACTTAGAACCTTTATAGACATTTTTGCGTAATTTTTTAACATCGAAATATTTTAGATTTTTTATATAAATTAAATCACAGATTTTTATTTTCATTAAAAAGAGAATTATATATATATATATATATGTATTATAAATTTTTATATTTTTGTAACCCTCCCCCTCCCTGATTTTTATATTTGAAAATGTTAAGAGGGGAAAATCGTTTGATTTTTATTAACAAATAAAATCGTAACGTAAAAAATTTAGGGAATTTTATCAGTTCCTTTATATTTTATGATCATCGCGGATTTCTCCATATGAGCACGTGATTGTAAATATTTAATCTTCGCGTATAAAGAGAACATCGCTTCTTCGCGTTAGAAATAAGAATAAGTATGGACAGAATTGCGAAATATTCGTTAACTGCAGGCTTTGTTTGCCCATGTTTCTGATCTTTCATAGATAATACAAGCACGGCGATACCTGCGGGTGGCTTTGCTCGATTGTCAATAAGAACGCTCAGCGGGTCCACTTTCATCTTGCACGAGAGAGACCCTAATTATAAATACTTAATTACCTTCCATCACCGCTCGGAAAGAAAGCATATACGCCATTTCATTATCTCTAATTAGTTAATTTCGCTCTAGCCAAAAATTCATTCCAATTTATCTATTTCTGATCTCTCAGTCGAGATTATATTTCATTTAATATTATTTTCCTCTTTTGCCAAAGATAATTTAATCACGCTCTTTAAATAAGAAATATCTATTAAGATATAAGCTCGCGATAAAATTAATTGAAGAACTTTGCATATCGACGTTGAAATAAGTATCTCGATGATTATAGATCGGTGAAGCTAAGAATTAATTTATTATCTAACTGTAGAGATTTTCGCGAATTTCGTATTGCATAGGGATTTGACAAGATAGTATATCCGTCATACTCGAATCGAACTATTCAGGACATTGATGGATTGCGTTTCGCGAGTAAAATAAAATTTCGCGATCGTTCTCATCGACCGTTATGTATACCCGTACGTAAGTTTACATAATGGCATCACGCAATTATACGTGAATATTTTATTCCTTTCAGGAGAAGCCATTCACCTTGCCAGAGACTTCGGCTACGTTTGCGAAACCGAATTCCCCGCGAAGCAAGTCGCCGAGTATCTCAGCCGGCAGCATTGTGAACCGCAGGATTCCTATAGGAGAAAAGAACTTCTTCATGCCACCAAGTAAGAATAATACAACGTTATTGCATTCTATTATAATACGGATTATTTTCGTTAAAAAAAAAAAAAAAAATACCGCACTAAATCATGCAATCGATTTTCTGAAAATTCATTCGCTTTCAGACAAATCACCAAAGAGCTGATGGATCTTCTGAACCAGGACAGATCGCCACTTTGCAATACGCGGCCACAACATATCCTGGATCCCAGTATACAGAGACATCTCACTCATTTCTCTCTTATATCACACGGATTCGGAAGTCCCGCGATCGTGGCCGCTTTAACGGCTATACAGGTAATAGAATGAGAAGTTATATTCTCCTATAGATATTATTTCAGCTTTTCATACAATCATTTTGAAAAATTACATCTTTTAAGGACGCGGGGAACAAAGGGAATTATTTTGCAACTGAGGCTAAAAAAGCGTGATTTTTTTTTTTTATTACAGAAGTTCCTAAGCGAGTCTTTGAATCATCTGGAGAAGATGTATCCCGGGAACGGCAGCGGCGTGACAAGCAGTCAACAGTCTAATCTCGACACGAATAAAAGCAAGGACGGCACGCTGATGAATGACATGAAGAAGTGACGCACGGAAGACCCGCCTACCTCGAACGTGGTCACGTCTATCAGGCACTCTTGGCCGTACAATTGAGCTTCCGTGCGTTCACCACTCTTGCGGAAAGCTCGCAGTGGACCACTGCGTACCAGGCGCACTCGCGTGCCTTCGTACGTCGAGGTTGGCTGGTCGGTAAGCTTCTGTAGGCAATTCGACATGCAGGCTACATTTGTGCGAAATGTGCAATCAGGGATGCCAGTGATAAGAGAAACGCAAGAAGACAAGAAAATTCTCATTCGTAATAGAGAGAGATAGAGAGAAGCAAAACACTCAAATTAGAGGAACTCCGCTCCTCGTCGCTGGTTCGCCTTTGATACAATTCCTATTTATTTTATATTCTGTATTAAAAATATTTACGAACATCGTAAAGATCTATCTTAACAGCTCCCTCTTTTATCGGCTTTATAATTGCAATTAAAACGTTATTATTGATACGATCTTAGAAAGGCAGAAAAGAAACGATTTTGAACAGATGAGAATACATATCTGTGCTAACATGTGCCACATACTAAAACAAGAAGAATTAGACCTATACATCGTCCAATGGATATTCTCTATTGAATATATAGTTTCACTGTCATCAGAACAATGACACATATCTTAAAAGAATATAAATACATTTATATTATAATATTTGACGATTCGCAATCTTCTTTTTTAAGTAATGTCGAAATTATATAATTTATTTATATGTTAATAAATATTCACAGAAATGGTGAATATTTTGGAAAAATAAATGCTTGAGAATATCAATTGGATATTTCGTAATACTTGAAAATATATCAAGCTCGTAAGCCTATATACTTTTGTATCTAGATCTTTTCGATTTTTTTCTCAAAAAAATTATTTATTTTAATTAAATTAGTTCTATATTGTCATGATCATCAAAACGCGTAGTGATAAAACGCAAATAAAAATATCTCTAATTTTAAAAAATACGTCCGAAATATCAAAATGATCAAAGGTGTTAAGTTACGATTTTTGTAATCTATTCATATGACCCGCTCTTTATATCCCACCGATAATACATCTCAAATAATAGATCAAGTTAAAGATTTGCGATTTGATAGCATATGTATAAGTCGCATCCATGTTTCTCGCGCATCCGAATACTGATAAAAATGCTCGAATTAATTATCTGTGCTGAGGAAAGAAAAGCTAATCAAAATTATTAAACGAATCACAAATGCCAAAATAAAGATTATTTTCTTTTTTGGCTAATTATTCTTACTGTATGTATTTATATATAGTTGCTCTACTTTTACTAATAATAAGTATTCTATTATGACGTGTGCAAATATTTTTTTAATTTACTTATTATTTTGTCCGATTAATAAAAGAAAATTTATTAAGTACAGAGAAACCTTAATACGTATATCAAATAACGAGTGTGATATAAAAAATCACAGATGTGTGACAAAAACGCATTTTGACAGATATAAGAATACAATATTCCCTCGCATTGTAAAAAATTTCTATCAGAACTTCACACAGATAATCAATAGAAAATTACACAAAAAATTAATTTGCAAGATCAAAATAATCGGATAATTTCGCGAGGTATACATATATATGATAGTTGAAAATACAAGAAATTTAGTGCAATTGTGTTAATATTAATTCGCTAAATTATTATTAATTAAAATTATTTCTTACTATCTTTGCAATCCAATTATGTACAATTTGTAATAATTGTTAGTAGGCAATCTGCAATAAAGATAAACAAAAATCGTGTTAAAATACGAAAAATAGTGAATTTGCGAAGGCAAAAGCGAGCCGCAAATTACTTCAATGTACTTCAATTACAATTTCTTCAATGTACATTTCGAATTATTTCGCGATTTTTATTTTTAATTATTTTACTCTTCATTTTCATTAGAGAAGCTGTGCTTCCACGTATGAGAGTTTCCTGGACCAGCAATTCTTTATGTATAAACAAAAGCGGTCGCGTGTATGAGTATCAAAGTGCAACTTAATCCTCGGTAACTTTGATGTACCAGTCATCTTTACTGAGATTAATCATAATGGGAACGTCGTGCGATCATCCTTAGCAAGAATATTCTGCCTTTCATAGGTGCACACTCGCGTGATAGTCAGAAACGACGTTAAGTCCAAGGAACTGTCAAGAATGAAGTCCTTCTAACAGGAGTCTATAATTGATTTATCGGAAAAATGAACAAATATTAAATTTCATATAATATATAAACTCCATTTTACAATCTTTTAACGCTGTTTCTTAATCTAAAAGAGTACATCATTAATCGACATGTACTTAATTTAAAAAAGAAAAACCACATAAAGATTATCCACATTATTAAATCCTCCTTTAAGGGACTTTATTCAAGGCTATTCCTAGGATCATTATCGTGCCAATGCGAAACTTGCCATTAAAAAGATGTGCCAATTATCGATATCGAGCTATTAACGTAAGCAACAGGCGGTTAACGAAAAAATAAAAAAGATATAGAGAAAAAAGCGCGATAACATACATACACACACACACATACACAGCGCAACGAAACTCGTATTTCGTTGGACACGCACGTGACGAAACGAAAGTTTCGTCGAGAACGAAAGCGCACGTGCTCGTCGGCCGCATCTCGGACTCGCCAGTCACGAGAGATTGTATGAAGTACAATACCAGGTGAACCTGAGACATATCTAACTTTGTAATTAAATCTTAGGCGTATATATATAAATGTAAGATTAAAAGTAAAACTGGGAGAAGAGTAAAAAAAAAAAAAAGAAAAGAGGACGCCGGGACCGAGGTCTCGTGTCGCGTATTATGTACAGAATATTTGAATCTTTCTTGTGATATAATCGTACATTATTAAGGTGTAAACCGATAAAAAAATACACTATACATTCCATGTTTTTTCATAGAGGTGAAAAGTATTAGAAGTGGTCGTGGACAGAGCGTGTGTGAGAGAAACCGGCTCGTTACTATAGAATCGGATGTGACAGTCACACGACTAAGATTCACGTCTCATAGTGTTAGAGGCGGCTCTAGGATTAGCCAAAGTCTTAGCCAACATTCGTGAAAAACTAATGTAACATTCTTACACACAGGGCACCTCGCCCTTCTTTTACATTCGCACGAGCTCGTGGATACGATTTGAGATCCTTGCAGAAGATGCGAAGATGTCCCGTATACGCGAGTCCCTCGAGAACATACAACACTACGTAGCTCGCTGCATTATGATATAGAGAGTCGCCTCTGCACACTACAAGCGTAAAACAGTTTTGTAAATGTTAAAACGCATTCCGACCAAAATCTTGAAATCTGGCGTCTCCGATATTCTATACCTGTTGTATTACATAATTTTACGTTTATACACACATATTTCGCAAATAACTTGATAATATAGTAAATATATAAATTCAGAAAACATCACTGTAACGTGATCAGTAGTGTGATCTTTATTATATGCGCACCCTTTTATCCTGGCAATCTAATTGCATGAACAATATCGCGAAGAAAATTTATCAGCAAGTATAAATAAGGATCACTCTAATGGTTGACCGATGTATTATCTCAATAAATGTTAGAAGAAATTTAATTAATTTGATATTGTGAAATCGTTATAAATAAAATGACGCATATACGTAACAAGTAACATAATAATTGTTTAATTATTATGCGAAGAGTGCAGCTAAAATTAGCATGCGTTTCAACAGATACAAGATGTGGACGCTCCAGCGCGATATGCTCGATTGCACTTTAAGTGAACGAAGCATCTTCCGACTCCTGATTCATACGCAAGGAATTAGTTAGGGAAAAGAAAACTCGACACCTTATTTTCACTCACGACTACTTACAATTAGATGCGACTTGTTAGAAGCTAAGGTCTCCCATAAATTAATACTTATTTATAACCCTTATAGAGAGAACGGCCGTAGAAATACGTTTTTCTACCAGAATTTCTGTGCCAACTGCAAAGAATGTTGTAGATGATTTTTTGTTTCAAGTTGAACCATTACTCTAATCTTGTAAGATACTCAGATATATCTTTATTAAATATATATTTGAATTTCGTAGTATATTATATTCTGATATTGATTATACAGTTCATTTTTGTATATTGGTGTGTGATAAATAAATAAGAATATTGTTTCTAAGCAATCCCTCGTGATAAAATAATCACCTATCATATAAACGACGCATAAGAAAATCATCATTGGCTTTATCTACGTAGCCCATCTTTCTGATATATTGTTATATATATATATATATATATATATATATATAATTAATATTAGTTAATTTTCTATTAATAAAAGGGTAAACTAAAATAAAACGGAAGCATACACATGGGATAATATTTGGAAGCATACACATGGGATATTTTTAAAAATATTCCTTTCTAATTTTATTTATTTCTTACGTTTGTATGAACGTCGATATTATAGTATGCTATAAAGTAAAAAGTCACTCTAACATATATTTTAAAAATAATGGATTCGTAAATTTCTAAATTACAATTTTAGCTTAATTTAAAAATATTGATAAATAAAATAAGTAACTTTTTCCTCACTCCATCTCATCTTACGTATGACAAGTATACTTGAAACCATAATATATAATTATATATAAAAGTTATAATACACTTAAAAATTATATTCACTATTTTAATTTTACTTACGTTCTCCATGAAAAAATTTCCATGTATTTATTACTTTGCTGTCGTTTTTGTGTAAATGCATGTACACATTTACAAAAAACTCGTATAAATACTTTTTTCAATATTTTATGAAAACACTTATTAAAAACAAATGCATTTTCGTTATTTTTCATGAATTTAAATGCAATTTATCTTTATTTAATTATATTTATATTCTATAATTTCCTGAACATTACTTATTATTCATTTTTATACAAATATTAGGAAAAAATATATTTTTATTAATATATAAAAATTATTAATAAATATATATAATTAATATATTATAAGAAAAATGATTCCTCAAATATTAAGATAAAAAAATCATATCAGCTTAACTTTGCATTTGCTTTTAATATTTATAACAAATAATTATAAATGTACTCACGTCATGCTTAAGTGTATTCACGGCACTTCAAGGTCCGTCACGATTGAAGAGGACTAAAAATCTTTTGATCCACAAAGAACGTGATCTCCACACAATCTTCATAACTTTCATCCACCTATATGAAATATACCAATATCAATATTAGAATATATACGATGAAATTATATACGATATTTCTGGTTTTCAACATTTCAAGTTTGCAATAAAATAATTTTTACAATTTTTTTTGTGTCGAATATTTGATATATATATATGTATTGGCTTATATACATTAGCTCTGTTCCGCGTGCTATATTTATTAAAAAATTATTCAGAGAAAATTATCTAGTGTAATTAATTTTCTATTTTACATGTCAATAAATTAAAAACAGATAAAAGTATTCATAAAACTATTTTGATTATTGTTGTATATTACTTTAACATATATATATAATTATTTAAACATAATTCTACAGAATTTTTTTCATCATTCTTACATTATTTAATCTCTATTAGTAATCTTTAATTAATTTACATACATATATTCTACTATGCGGTAAGTTTTCATACATGATAAATTTTGCAATATTTAGTTGTAGTTGAAACTACATATATTTTTTTTGTATATATAAATATATTTTTATTCAGAATGATTAGAATTGTAGCATTTTCATTGGTTGGGGAAATTCTATTCGACGTTTTTAAAAACAAAATATGTCTTATATTATCTCATTTTTATTTCAATTTTATAGGAGTTACACATTACATATTATTTTAATGACAAATTTAAGAATTACATTCATATATTTTTGGATATATATTTATATATTTAGAATTATATACTGATTATAAGTATATGACATGATTTGTCATAATTCTTCATTGTTCTACACAAGAAATAATATAGATTATTACATAACTCGTTTAATGTAAATCTATAATATGCATTTAACTTTATAGAAGCTATATATTAAGCAAATAATATGAAGTTATGTATAATGTAATAATGTATAACTTACACAATTATCAATTTAGTTTTTATTGTATGTTTGCATTGTATGTCAATCGTTTAATTTGTCCCATTTACAATGCAATTTTATTATAGCATTTCGTCAAATAAAAATATTTAAGTTACAATTTGTTTAGATAAAAAAAATCTTAATATACAAACTTACGTCAATATATTTGATTGGAGATTATTAAATATTAGTATGTTCGTTTTTAATATTAAAATTTCAAATCGATTTCAGATTGATTTCAAATTTTAAATTGAAAATATTAAGTACAAAAGACAAATAATGAAGATGACTCTAAAATATAGTTAGAATCATTAAGATTATTTAGGTATTGACACTTAATTTATATAACACTGAATATACGATTATATGAATTTCATAATTTCATTTGTATGCAATATTAAGCACTTGTTCAATCATTTTACTTATTTCATCCAATCAATCCTCTTGGTCCTTTACTCCTTGTCAATAGTTAAATTCCTTTGTGGTCCAATATATTTTAGAAAAAGGACTAAAGGAGCGGAATTAATGTTTTGTAAACTGCCAGGTATGCATTAATAGTGTGGTATAAAGTGAATTGTCATTTAAAGAGAATTGTCAATTAAAGGGAATTCTCAATTAAAAGGAATTATTAATTAAGGGGAATTGTCAACGGAATAAATTTTTATGTCATATGGTCAAACGCGTTAATAATATATATTACCATGGCTTAATTTTTAATTTTTATGGTTTAGTTTCTATTTATATGTTCTTGTTTATCCAGTGGTCGCGAAAACTGAGAGATCTGAAAATTATCGAATTTATTATAAAAAAAGTGAAAATAAAATAGTGCAGTGTTCATAACTGAAGGAGAGTAAATACGGATAGAGAGAGAGTATACTTAAGTTTTTGCAAGAAACTGAACAAGAAATAAATCTCTTGATCATTAAAGAGAATGATATGTCTATTGACGTTATTTTATTCATAACATCGTGAAAAATAAAACAATAATGTTTGCACATCATTACCGTCTTAGCCTCCATCTCTCTGACCGGTTAAGGACGATTTCTTTCGTTTAGCGGTTTCTGCATCATAGGCCGCCGTGCAGCATTAGGAAGATTACCCGCCAATGGATTCGCAACAACGCTATGAAATAATAATGTCAGAAAAAAAACATTTAGAGGAATACGGACGATTATAATCAAAAAATTTAACGGATTTTTTGTAGGTGTTTACTTGGAAGGTCGTGTATACGGGGTGGTGCGGTAGCGCGAGGCTGTGCCTGATGTCGTTGAAGTCTTGTACGATTTCCAAGCGCGGCTCGACGACTCCTCTGCGAATTTCATGGATTGATGTTTTAATTATTTTTATTTAGACAGAACACGATGTTGCGTTCATATTAATGGTCTACATGCTAGCATCTAAGCATGGCTCGTCATTTTCATGTTTTTTTTTTTTTTTTTTTTTTTTTAGTACGAGTTTGAAAGTTTAATTATTAACGTATATCATGCATTTTGTTATACAATCTATAGAGAGGGTTTAAATTTAATTGTTATAGCAAACTTAGATTATGGCTTCATTTGGAACTGCATGATTCAAGTATATATTTAAAAAATACTAATTATTTAATATTATTTGTTTTTATTATCTATACGCGATATAATTTCATCTTGTACGCGCATAAATTAAATTAATTTAATCACAGAGCGAAATTTATGTTAAGTTACATTATTACAAAATTAATTTTTGTATAAGAATTAAAGAATTAATTTTTAAAATACATTATATTATAATAAAATGTTGGATATTATTAATCAATATAATAAAGACATATTATTTTATGTTTTGATTTATCCATTTTGCATATAAATGTATTATTAAGGGCTAAAAATATAAATTATCAATTTCTTCAATATAAATTAAAAATTAAATCATTTTGATATTCAATGCATTTCCATGGAAGCTAATATTAACACTTTTGCTTTAAGCATATCGACATTGTGCATTTTACTAAAAATTATTCTTCAATAACTGCAACTTATAATTCTTTGAAATTTTCATTATAAAAAAAGAATGGAATGAAAATGTTGAATTTTGAGCTAATTTTGAATTTATTTTGAAATGTTTAAGAAAAATATATAAAATAAAAAAAACCATTTAAATTGTGACATATATTTATGTTATTATAAAAATTTATAAAGTAGTAAAATTAAAATCTCACCTTGCATAAGCATAATAAAGTAAACTTTTTATTACTTGTAAGCGTAGTAAAATAAACCTCGCATAAGCATAATAAAGGATTTACATGTAACTAACAAACACTCATTCAAAAATACTCTATCAAAATAAAATAAAATAAAATAAAATCTTTAAACGTCTAATTGCTAATAAAAAAATCTTAAATTTTTTATAATCAAACAAATAAAAATGGAATATTTTACCTGGATAATCTGAAGATTCGTAATAATCATGTGAAGAATGCGGTGCAGAATCATCTTCATACTCGTAAGTTGTATATCTTGAAGAATAAATATCTTTTCAGTTAAAGTATGTCAACCTTATCACATAGCAAATTGAACAATATAATATGAAAATATCTATTAAAAAGTGTTTATATAAAAAAAATTTTCTAAAACTTTGCTAATATGCTAATATTCTCTTGCTATTATAAATTATATCAGTGCAAAAGTCATACATATTACATACCCAGAATTCGATGAATAATGTCGATCGCCATATCGAGCACTACTAGTTGATGATCCATGATAATCATAATCATGATGTGATCCAGCACGGTTTGTTGGTGGAGGAGTTTGAGTTTCGTAGCTATAAGAATATGAAAAATGTAAATATATTTAACATAGTATTTGTATCAAAATGGAGAAATTGTTATTGTTACATGAATAAATAAGTAGACTTACCCAAAATTTTGATCTATAGCTGCTCTTGCACGATCCAAGATCGAGAACACCTTCGATTTATTCGGTGGTACGGGTCGAGAAAGTGGGCCACGATTTGCAGGTGGTGGAGGAAGAATAGCTGAATAATATACATATTAGATATGTATATAATTAAATCTTTTGTATTATTGATATTGCAAAATTCTGTATCTCTTTCTGTATATCGTAACAAATGTATTTGTTAAAAAATATTTTATACAAGTTATTCTATGCAATATAAATTTACACTGATTGATATTGAAGAAATTAATATTCTAATGTAGCTTCAGTCTATATATTTATTACATTTTGCATAATTTTCATAGATATAAAACGAACCTCTAGATGTTCTAGGTAATGTCGGTCTTGCAGCAGGTCTTAATATACCACCAGTTCCAGGACCAGAAGGTCCTCTCATCGACGGTCTTCGATCGTCCGAGACCGGATCGTTAGATATGTTCATTTCCATTTCGCGCATTTGCTCTTGACGTATATTATCATTATTATCAGGGATCAAATACTTCCGTACCTCGGCCAAGGCAAATGCAATACGAGCATAAGCTTCCGCTGGTGGTGCAATAGCTGTGATTTCTACGTGCAGATCATCAGAAAGATGCGCATATTTCGGATCTAAAGAAGCACGACATTCTTCTTCCTGTGAACAAAAAATCCAAACATAAGTCATTTTATTCGAATAAAAAAAGATAACATTCCCATCTGTCACTTACTTTTTGTCTATCTTTCATCGATCCTTTACCCAACACTGCCATTTTGCACATTGTTTCTTCTTGCAGACGTTTCATAGAATTACCTTTTGGGCCCAACAGTTTCCCAACAAAATTAAACTAAGAACAAGATAATTACATAATTAAGATTTAAGATAACAGCTTACCTTTGCTTATATTGAGTGGAGAAAAATTGCTAATATTAAATATATCTAGCAACTTACCTTAGGATGCTCTCGAATTGGTACTAAAACTTTTACAGAAATGCGAACTGGTTTTTCGCGATAAATATCCACATATTTTGGATCTCTTAATGGTTTTCCCATAGCCTGAGTTTTTTGGATCTCTATAAAATATGTAATTCTTTTTGGTTGGGAAGAAATATTCATATTCTTTTGGTGTGAAAAAATATTCACCCAATTTATCGCATGAAAATCTAATAAATATTTTCATAGTCATTGTAGACACAAATCAACAAAAATCTAGAAAAATATTTGTATAATAGTACATACTATACTCTTTCAAATAGATATTCCTTTATTAAAAGAGATTTTATCAAAAATAGCAAAGAGCTTAATTCTCTTTTATATCGCATTATATAAATCCTGTATCAAAAGTCAAAGTAGAAGATACGCAATTCAAAAATTACAGAAATATTCAATACCAAAAATTGAAAGACTTCTAATTATCATCAAGTATACTCAAAACTATCTTTCAGTAACATTCAAATAAAATGTTTCACAACTAGCAGAGTGAGCTATATTACATTTCTTACAAAGCATTGCATCCAAGCATTGCTTACACACATGGATTCAATGAAATCTCATTACGAATAAAAATTCGTTCTATTAATATCCAGTGCAACGATAATTCGTTACAATTTGATAGGACTTACCATCGAGCTAAATTCATGAACGAGTGAGATAAAAAAAAAAAAGGAACACATTTATACTCACCCTGATCGATCAATCGGATCGCGATGGGCCATTTCTGATTGTCCAGATCAATTTTCTCCTGGAGAAGCTCTCGCACGTATTCGCCCGCCTTGTCAATTTGATGATCCTTGTCGTCGGAGTCTTTGTCCAATATTCTAGGTTTAATGTCAACGTCGTCATCCCTCTGATACTTGTAGTCGCCGTTGCTCGATCTATCCATATCCATGTTCGCCATAATACAATTCGTCGATAAATTAGCTCGGACAAGCCCTCCGACTTCTTCACTGACGACAAACGATGAAAAATCGCCCAAGTGCAACGACGCGTCCGGGAAACGAAGCTGTAATGGCTGACTTTTCACCGCATGCGTATATTCCATTGGAAGCCCGAGAGCGGCTTCGTTTCGTCAGACGCTCGCCGCAACCTCGTCCGCTTCTGCCATCTGTATTCGTTTGAACGTTACGTCAAACTACGTACGATCATTCCATCTCCCTGGCACTGCCGGTAAATAAGCATTCTTTCTTTGTTGGTTTGCATCCATACTACATTTATAGAGATATATATTTATAGATATATTATTTTTATACATTTTTAAATATACATTTTTTTTTATTATTTTTAATGCATTATCTTTTAATCATAAAAATTAATATAAATCTGCATCTGCATCAACAGTTCCATTTTTATACTAAAAGATGTTTTAATTTTAATATAAGACTGAAATTACATATATATATATATATTTATAATATATTTATAATATATTTTAAATATATATATATATATATATATATATATATATATATATTTAAAATATTTTTATTAATGCTGTTAAATCTAAAATGATGGATTGTACGAGTTACATGAAAAGAAACTTAATTGACAAATTTTTTATATTGACAATATATATATATATATATATATATATATATATATCAATTGTCAATATAAAAAATTTGTGAATTAAGTTCCTTTTCATGTAACTCGTACAATCCGTCATTAGATTTAACAGCATTAATAAAAATATTTTTCGAAATAACATTAACATTTTATAATTTGCACATTTCAAACATTGAAATATATTAATAAGCTATATCATATGATGCATGTTAAAATGTCACTTACGATCAAGTTTGGAAGTAATCTCCAAGCTAACTAAACTTCGAAGATGGGTAAACATTGACGTCAGCCTTCGTTATCGCTTTCCTTTCTTCTCCTCTCTCCTTTTCTCCCTTTCTGTTTCATTTCCTTTTCCGATTCTATTAGTATACTTCGAAGTGTACGCATGTCGAAGACACTTTCCGCTCGTACGTTCATAAATCGGCAGCGATTTTTTCTGATTCAATCACAAAACGTATCCACGCGCGTGCCTCGACTTCGCGGCTATATTCACGAAATTTTCACACGAGGTTGAATGTGATGTCCCCATATCGCGAGATATCGCATTATATGCAAATAAGAGATAAGACCTGCGACCTCGTGAAGGCAAGCAACTACTAGCGCTTCGAACAAGAAACGATGCTTATTGTCAGTAAGTTTGGTGCACGGCTACGAAACGCCGGAAGAAAATTACTTTTGTGTCGTGACGAAAATTCCGCCAAACGCAAAAATGTCAGATCGGCGCATTTTACGTATTTCCCGAGCGAAAGACCGAATGACACCGGTAAGTAATTAATTATTTTGTGCACGCATTACATCGTAAGTCATATCGTTCGAAGTCTTGCAAAAACAGTGACATGCAAAATCGACATAATAATATATGCATACCATATAAGCGATAATAAAGATAATAAGATTAATGAGAGATTCGATAAAAGGCGTTTTGTCGAATTTATAATTTATCGAGCATTTAATTAATTAAAAAATGTATATAGATAGTTATGTAAAAGAATGTGTGTGTGATATTTTTGAACACGATATATAAACTGGTATAATTAAAAAGAATATATTCAACTATTGAAAAAAATTGTTCATTTATGCAGTAAAAAGCGTTTTCTTAATTATTAGAAATAAAAATAAAGATTATTTTCGTGTGGAATAGAATTTTATTTTTATCTATTTTTGACTTCACAAAGATAAGATAACATATGTTTCAACTTCTTTCGAAACTGTCGAGCATTCGAACATTAAGATACTTTAAAGCCCGAATTTTTGATAATCTATAAATTTTAGTAGTCGTTTCTCTTTCACAAATGAAAAACGTAAAAATACACACAGTATATGTGTCAATAAGAATGAATCGAAAATTAACAAAATTTAATGTGGCGATAAATTATCGAGAATTATTTATTTTTTTGGTATATCTGTTATATGATGTAATGAGATTCAATATAAATCATTTTGAATATTTATATGTATATACATATATGTAAACACAGACATATATCATTTATTATTGTTAAGTCGCGATAGAATGTTATAGGATTTTGTTCATTTCATAGTACGGAATCACTTAATACTTAATAATGTATTATTCAGATGTGATTATGTAAAAGACGTATATTTTTAGGTAAGACTCAAAAGCTGAATATGTATCAAGCTATAAATCACGCCCTTACTCTTGCATTGGAAAACGATCCACGTTCAGGTAAATATCTTGTTCGAAGCCTTAAAATAAAATGTACAATTTATTTAAATATAAATCATGTTTTCCCTAGAGACATATATATTATATGTTTAATATATTTATTACACATTCATTATTCATTATTTTATGTTCGACATCTTCAATACTCATTACTTTTTTTTCATCACAGTATCTTATTTAAATTACTTACAAAAATGAAAAAAAAATAATAAAATTTTATTCAAAACATCAAATTCAAAATCTCTAATAAGAGAATATTCTTACATGTTTTTCAGAACAAATGTTTCATTAATTTTTTTCAATTTTTAGTGATATTTGGCGAAGATGTTGCATTCGGAGGTGTCTTTCGTTGCACGATGGATTTGAAGAAACGTTTTGGCGATGATCGTGTCTTTAATACGCCTCTTTGCGAGCAAGGAATTGCCGGTTTTGGAATTGGTTTAGCCAACGCCGGAATATCGGCAATTGCCGAAATACAATTTGCAGATTACATATTCCCTGCATTCGATCAGGTTTGCTTCATCATTCATGTAATGCATAAATGATGAAATAAATAGATTTATAATTATAATTTTAGTAAAAGTATCTTTTTGATATATACAGAGTATAAATATTCAACAAATTTTAAAAAGACTCATTACTCAAAGAAAGAAATTCCTACAAAAAGCAGAAACATTGTTATATCTCGAAAACTTGGCGAACGAAATCATATGAAATTATATCTTCATCGTCAAACATTGTCGTACATAGGATGGAGAAAGATTTGTATTAAAATTATTAATGGAACCATCTGTTAATTTTGTCTGCAGTTAGTAAACGAAGCGGCTAAGATGAGATACCGAAGCGGCAGTATGTTTTGACTGCGGCAAATAGACAGAGTATAAAAATATTCAAAATATTTTAAAAAGATTCCATTACTCAAAGAAAGAAATTCCTATAAAAAGCAGAAACATTGTTATATTTCGAAAACTTGGCGAACGAAGTCATATGAAATTATATCTTCATCGTCAAACATTGTCGTACATAGGATGGAGAAAGATTTGTATTAAAATTATTAATGGAACCATCTGTTAATTTTGTCTGCAGTTAGTAAACGAAGCGGCTAAGATGAGATACCGAAGCGGCAGTATGTTTTGACTGCGGCAAATAGACAGAGTATAAAAAATATTCAAAATATTTTAAAAAGATTCCATTACTCAAAGAAAGAAATTCCTATAAAAAGCAGAAACATTGTTATATCTCGAAAACTTGGCGAACGAAGTCATATGAAATTATATCTTCATCGTCAAACATTGTCGTGCATAGGATGGAGAAAGATTTGTGTTAAAATTATTAATGGAACCATCTGTTAATTTTGTCTGCAGTTAGTAAACGAAGCGGCTAAGATGAGATACCGAAGTGGCAGTATGTTTGACTGCGGCAAACTTACGGTTCGTGCACCTTGCGGAGCAGTTGGCCATGGTGCTCTTTATCATTCTCAAAGTCCAGAAGCATATTTCGCCCATACTCCCGGCTTGAAGGTCAGTAATTTACGTGTGCTTATTTCTTTATCATTTATCGAATATAATATCGCTCACTCTCTCTCATATAATTACTTTGACCATGTACATACCGTGTCTTTACTTCTGGGCATATCCATAAACGAAAAAAGCAAACGCTTTATTGAGATAAATAATTTCGTAATGAAGTTATAAATAAACCACGCATCAATATTCGTATAAATATATACTTGAACTATCAGCGATGCGTTATATTATATATTGCATGCAGTGTTAAGTAACAAGATTAATATATTATTACGAGGTTGCGACATAATTGCCGTTTTCAAATAATTCTAATACGCGTGCAACATAATTTGTATATACATATTATAAAAAAAAGATTTGAATATGAATAAAAAGAAATTAAATAGTCATTAATATTTAATATGCCTCGATCGCGCGAGTCAAGCAAACAAGTTTCGCTATCAAATTTTCATCATCGGGAACATTCTTCGTACCTTCGCTATATTACGCACCACCAGCCATAGCCATGAGTTCTCAACTTTCTTCAACAAATTCCATGAATATTGTACGACGTATACACTCTACGTATGCATGAAGAAAGTTCTGCTCGCACACTAACGCGCAATCGCCGCTATATCGTACATCGCGATTACGAGAGAAGCGTGTCGCGTAATATCGCGCCGACATTTCCTGGAGCCGATAAATTTCACGTTTTTGTTTTGCAAAATCGTCAAGAAGAATCGCCAATTATATACATATATATATTGACAGGAGAGATCGCGAACTGGAGAAAATCGCGAAAGAAACAATTTCGCGTTCTTAAAAACAGCTGATTCTTTTTTCAGATCGTTGTACCTCGCGGAGCAACGCATGCAAAAGGTCTATTGTTGAGCTGCATAGACGAGCCAGATCCTTGCATTATATTTGAACCGAAAATCCTATATCGCATAGCGGTCGACGAAGTGCCCGTAGAATATTACAAGATCGAAATCGGCAAGGCTGAAGTTGTGAGAGAAGGTAAATTCTATTAATATATGATATTTCAGATATTAGATTCTTAGCATACTTGGCTACTAATTGAATTTATTAAGCACTACGCTACACTTGTCTATTAATCATCTACATTGTTGATTATATATTTCAAATGCAAATTAAACCATAAATTTTATACGTTTTATTATAGAATTTTATCGATTTATATAAAACGTCTTTGCATAAGAAACACAAATGATGTCTATAAATTTTCAATAAAATTATCTGATAATTAGTACTCGTTTTAATCCGCTTATAATGATACTGATTCAAAAGAGTATAATATTTCTGCTAGTATAAACTCTTGTTTAATTTATATTATTGAAATGAGAGAGTAAGGCGTGAAAATAATAATTATGCAATATGAATAAATACTTGCGGTTGTGTAAGATTATTTTTTTCGCAAAATATTTAAGATACAAGAAACAAGTTCTCTCTCTCTCTCTCTATTTTTTTTATTCACGGCAGATTATAACGTAGTCCAATGAAAATAACGCGTAAGACACATTATTTAAAGTCATATGTAGAAAGTGACTGTTCACTCTCCTCATACACGCGGCTTGAAGTCTCTGTGAATATAATTTACCGAGTATAATCGTCCTTCCATTATCCAATCGCCGATCAGAGCGGAGCGATGCGGCGCTCTCGCTGATGACCGGTCCTGAAACAGGATATAACAGAAGGAGCACGTACTTGTCGGTTACGCGAGTCTACATACACGTGTTTGTCTATAATAAGTGTATTTCGTTGTTGCGTAGGTAATGCCGTGACACTCGTAGGCTGGGGCACTCAGGTGCACGTGCTGTTGGAAGTGGCCGATCTAGTCCGGGAGAAGCTCGACGTATCCTGCGAGGTGATAGACCTCATTTCCATTCTACCTTGGGACGCGGAACTCGTGTGCAAGGTGGGCATAACTCAATCTCTCTCTATATCTCTTTTTCTTCATCTTATTACAATCGCTTCCTTGAGAATAAGAAATCGGTTCAAGAAAACGATCGCTTCAAGCACCGTTTAGCCTTCTTTGATGCCTTTTCCATTCTCGTTGCTTTGATAACGTAACCGTTCGCGTTTTGTTTCTTTTATACCAAGAATTTCAAGGGCCGAAATTAATTAATAATCGCGCGCGATCTTTCGCCTTCACCTTCTCTATGACCATAACTCGATTATCAATGACAAACTGTGACCGTGACGTCGAAAGGAATCATCAGATATATCTATATATGAGATACTATTGAAATTCGCATCATTTATTTCGTTTAGGGAAATATCTCGGGATTCGAATAGGGAATAATCGAAAGACCTGGAATGATGGTTGCGTGAAGATTCGACATTATTATGCATCGATTTACGTTCCCTGGTATCGTCGAGAATAGAAGCGGGTTGTTGTTGACTAAAAAGGGGAATGAGAAGCGATCCTGGGCGTCTAAGAGCGGAAATGAGAAGCAATCATGAGCGAAATCCTCCGCCCTGGACGCTTGCGTGTCCCTTCGGGTTATGGATCTCCATAGACTCTAATATCGCGCTGATTTATGCTAATCGATCTCTGGTCGCCTAATGATATGCCAATCGCACAGTATGCGCTTCTCTCGCGGCTTACAAACCACCGTGATATTATATGTAGTGATGCGCGCACAACAAGACGAGCGTAATTGGAAACCCGTTTTGCCGCAATTTCGATACAGTCGCGAAGATTCGCTATCTTGTCTATCTGCGATGCCTATCTGCGAAACACGGTTTCGTAATGACAGACAAACTCCGCTCGCGAAACGAAATTCTAATTCATCCGTCGCTTTGGCGACGAATTTTTACGCGAATATAATTTTTCATATTCGAAAAAATCGTCGCCAGCGTTATTAAAATGGAGCAGAGTGACTGATGAATACAGAAAGATGTAAATAATATTGTGGGATTACGATAGATTATTCAGATTATAACTTTGCGCGGTGTTCTTTAATTAAATCTTGAAGATAAGTTAAACCTTGAAGAAAAGTTAATATATTTTACTGTAATATTTGACAGTTTTAAAAAATTTAACAAGCTATGTATTATTGCAATAACATTATAATAAAATATGATAAAAATCTCTCTCTCTCTCTCTCTTTGAATATTTTAGAATAAATAATTAAGAAAAAATATATAAAAAGAATCAGTATTTTTCTGGAGTACTGTTTTTACAAGCAATTAAACGTTATATAAGAAAAATAAACGATTTATAATTTAAATACCTGCAATATGACAGTAAGTTGCCTATTAATAAAGCTTAAAGTTGTCATATAGCAATCTTATAAATCCTTATCTTATCAATATTAGTAGCATCTCATAAATATTAATTTGATAAATATAGAAACGTAGACTTTTTTTACTAGCTATTTCCGTGACGAAAGAGTGCAACTGAAAATGTTGCAGAGAAGATTAGCGTAAATCGAAAATGTCATACGAACCTGTATTCGATGTTCACTCGCGCTTAACTATCTTTGTTAATGATTTACAACGGAACGCGCGCACATGTATGTACACAAGTGTGCCTACCTATCTCGATCGCCAGCGTGTATTTCCATCGTCGATCACACGTTGTAGGCCTGTATTTGATAGCCGTTACAAAATGATGACTCGTGCCGTCGTCGCGGCGTTAATGTGTCCGTTTAGCATCGCGGTCGTATCTATAAGTTATTATTATACCGCAACAATATGGGACGAGACGTAAATCACGCGTGAATTAAACCCAGCGGCCGACCGATAATAAATTGCCATGCGTGATATGTGCGTAAATGTTGCAGTCGGCGAGGAAAACCGGGCGTGTAATTATCGCCCACGAAGCGCCGATGACAAACGGATTTGGGGCAGAAATAGCTGCAACTGTGCAGGTAAAGGAATTTTTCATAATTTTTCATTAAATTTGCAGCAACAAATCAATTGCGCTCATTATGTGATGTAAAATGACTTGTAATTGCACTTGTAACAAGGTAACAATCGAAGAAGTGCGTAAAAATATATTGCATGATCCTAATATATGAACTGACGTTAATTAAAAGTCGAAATTTAATGTCATCATTTTTCATATTTGCAGCAACAATAAAATTAATTGCGCTAATAATATGACGTAAAATGACATGTAATTGCACGTGTAAAGGTACTTGTAATAACGTAATAATCAAATAAGTGCGTAAAAATATATTGCATGATCCTAATATATGAACTAACGCTAATTGAAAGTCGGAATTTAATACATCAAGATATAATGTCACGCGAGATGGTAATATTATCTATAGAAGGTTGTAAACAGGTTTTTAAGGTAACCAAGATTAATTGATTTTTTTCTCGTATTTACATTCTCGATTATTAATTGATCAGTTCATTTTTCTATGTTTGAATTCTAAACTTAATTTTACATAGAATTTTACATAGATAAAAATGTTAATCAAATTAATCACATATATAAATTATATAAAATTTCTGTAATGTTTGTTAAATCAGGCGGAATGCTTCTTGTATTTGGAGTCGCCGATTAAAAGGATTACAGGATGGGACTGTCCCTTTTCACATATCCATGAGCCGTTTTACTTACCGAATAAGTGGCGTTGCTTTGAGGCTGTCCGAGATATCCTGAAGTACTGAGAAACTGCGGATGCTGCAATATGCGCCAAAATAGTGGAAAAGGATTGCAACCTGTTGCCCACAAAGCGGTTACTCTGGAAAACGAAATATATTTTTTATTAATTAATTTTTTATAATTCATTATCCCTTAGAACTTTTTTACCCTTGTTTCTTCATTGTTTTATATAAAATATATTGTGTAATTTTAATATAAAAAAGTTTTAATATAAAATTATATATTTGAAATAAATAAAACTTTTTTATATCTCAAAAGAATATGTAAGAAATTAAAAAGATGAATATATTATTTGTGTGAAATCTGTGAAATTCGCATTATATATTTATCATATTGCTTATAAATAAATTTTATATATGTATATAATGTAATTCACGTATTTGCTCGTATTTATATTATAAAATATCATTAGTAGAAATTATTTATTGTTGCTAAAAAATGAGCACATATTGTTTACCTGGGATAATTAAATCTACAATAATATAGTCTTTATTGCTAACAGATAATGTGAACCTACCTGGCTTGTGTCTAACATAAATTGAGGCATACGGAGCCATGTCCCTGACCTAGTTTACCGCAACCCACATAAATCCATCCCTCCTGTCTAAATTAATAACATGAAAGATGATACAAATCGTCGCCGGCGGCAATAACGCTAGTCAACGAAGACGTCAGATAGGTAGGTATTTGTAATCATGCAGGATGGATCGCCTAAGTATCTATATAGCCTTTTTTTTCATCGTTCAAATCTGGGTCAAGTCCTTCTTTAATAATAAAACTACGCACCGATTGTGCGCCATGGCAATGTAATATCTCAATCAAGGTTTCAGTCTCAGATGTTGTCCTTTCCAGTCTAAACCTTTAAGATCGTCATGTTCCGCCTGTCAACAGGATGTAAGTTTTCAGTCGAGCTTGAAAGTATAAAAACGAGATTCGAAAAAGATTGATTTAAAGCAAAATAATAAAGATATTAAATTGAAAAAAATATTAAATTATTATTTATTTATTTTTTCTTATTGAGGAAATTCGTCATGTTCCGCCTGTCAACAGAATGTAAGTTTTCAGTCGAGCTTAAAAGTATGAAAACGAGATTCGAAAAAGATTGATTTAAAGCAAAATAATAAAGATATTAAATTGAAAAAAATATTAAATTATTATTTATTTATTTTTTCTTATTGAGGAAATTAATATTTAAACGGGATTATTATTTATGATTAATGTCTATCTTTCAAAAGATTCAATTGCCAATCTTATTGAATATCAATTCGACATCACATTCGAATAAGTAACCGAAAATTTTTCAAATAATGTAAAAAATAAAATTGAAGAAAAGGAAATGTGCTGAACTGTTCACTCGTGGCATATTTTGTAATTTGAAAGGGAAACCACATTCTTTCACTGTATATTATGATACGTGAAAGTTGACAGCGGTATATATACACGGAGTGCAATGAGAGAAAGAGAGAGATAAGAAAATAGTTAAGAGAGAGAGAGCGGGAGATCCGTCAACAGTGAAAAAGAGATGGAGAGCCAGTCGCCACGAAGCATAGACTATATCGAAGGTCGACAAGTTACCTTTTTATTAGTCGATTTTTGCGAGAATAGAGCAACGGCTTTTAATGCTAACATATGGCACCGATGCGCTCGTATATATCAAAAGTCGCGAGATTTTCTCTTCAATTCGATAATGATTATGAGATACTACTTTAGAAATAAGTTATTGGAATACTTTTACTTTCAGTAGCAATTTACATTGAAATGACATAAACAATATAAAACAATATAAAAATGACACAAACAATAAATCTTTGTTTAGAAAAATATTAAATAAATAACTTACTTTTTAACTTTTTCAAAAATTTCGGCTCGGTTTTTTTTCTTATTTTTATATCAAAATATGAAAGTTAAATCTTTTAATCTTCGTTATATTTAGAATAATAATTAGAATATATATATGAATATATTATTAATATTAATATCGTTGACTTATCTGTTCGTTTCGATATATCGACAGGAAACGCGAAATCAAAATATTGTGATGCTACGAGATTATCCGTTCCTCATTAAGTATACAAAAAATCAAATTATATGTTAAGTAATCAGAAAGTCGAATCATATATTCTATTACATAAATCCATATTTATCGTGGCTGACCAGTTTGTTTTCAATCCCCGATCTCTTCTTACAATCGATTGATCGGATATCGTACTCTTCTTCAACACGTGTCAATGTCATACACAAGTATCAGAGAAAGGATTCTTCGGGCCAAATTAAACATCAATTTGTTATCTTGATTTATGCCACGCAACACAGTGCGATATCTCTACGGCAACAGCACAAAGTAGCCAGTGATGAAAGTTTCCATTGGTCCGATCAGACGCAACATATTTACTGACACTTTCGAAATTAACAGCTGCGTTTTTATCTTATCTAAAATAATGTTTACCAACGCGGAGGTTAAATGTGAATAAAATTACGTTAATATTTTAAAAATACGCAAAAAAGATGCTTTTTTATACAATCTTGTGGTAAATAATTTTGTGGCAATTTTTAGTTTAAAATTGTGATTACGACGTTAATTGTCGATATGTGGCGCATATCAAAAGAATTTTAAGTAGAACATGTACATTGACAGCTAACAGCAAATAAGTATTACTCTCTCTCTCTCTCTCTCTCTCTCTCATTTAATGTATAAAATATGCAAAATATATACATATAATATATATTATATGTATATATTTTGTATATTTTATACAATTTTTATATTTTATATTTTATATACATCTACATATAAAATATACAAAAATATATATTAAAGAGTGAAAAAGAGAAAGAGAGAGATAGAAATAGAGAGCAATTTATTAAAGAAAATTATTTTAATAATTTTGTTATCTATTATATCTATTACTTGAACACGACGCTCTAATAACAGAACGTTTACGAGTAGCCTATATTCACGTTAAGTCTAAAAATATGAAGCCACAGAACACTGATTTACACGAAATTAAAATAATTTGATGCATTGCGCGCATCCTGTACAAATCTGTTTCGCATTTGCCGTTCTTAAAGTACAACGCAGTTTCTAGTATAACTCCCCGAGGGCTTCTTCCTTATGAGCGCGCACACGCAATGCAACTAAGTTGCAACTAAGTTGCAACCGCAATTAACGCGCCGCTCTACCGATGCGTGTGTACTGTGTACAGGTAGCGCTGACTCTTAAGTATTGGGTACATCGCATTTATCATGTCCAAACTAGCGCAACTGATCTTAAAATAATATAGCAGAAGTTTTCATTTTTTTAATATAAAATTATTCTACACAATTAAATAAAATAAGATTGCAGCAGTACATCAAAATAACAAATGGAGAACAGATTTTATCATACAATTGATACCTAAAAGAATTAAAATTGCATTGGAATTATTGAACTCTTATGTGATTTACTTAAATATGTTAAATACCAATCGCGTAATATATATATATATATATATATATATATATATATATATATATATGTGTGTGTGCATAAATTGCAACGCAAAATTATTTCCATGGACTATTATTTTATTGTAAAATGTATTTCTTTGAAATTAATGAATATGAAATATCTGTATCTAATAATATACCATAAAAATATAGTAACGACACCAATATATTGGCAATTCGCAATGTCGCACGTGTGTCTTACACGTGTCTTATAAAATGATTAGATATGCGCATAAAACACGCAAATGATAATGTATACCGACAAATAAGTTTTACGATAAATTAATCGCTGATATACATTTATAGTAATACACATATGCACATATAATCGTTCTGACCGCGGCCTGTGTCGCAAAAAAAAAAAAATAAAACGTTCATAAATTATACATTTATAAATTATACAGTTTTGTTGTAAACATACTTGATGGATTATTATAATGGTAATAGGCAAAACTAGATTGTGATAGGTTAATTACATGCTCTCTGTTCAATTTTGATAAATTGTTAGCGCAGTGTAATTTCATCCAAGAAGTGAATGTCATAGAAATAATTTATATTATATTTTGAAATCACTGGGAATAAATAATCAAAACAATTTAAATGTAGAACATAATCTCAATTCATACATTTTCTTATATAATAATATTTTTATCAAGTTTTTAAAATTATATTTTAGATATTCATCATCATATATCAAAGAAATTGTGATAACAACTGCAAGAGTTTTTTAATGAGCACAAAATTGTTTAAAATATTATTTAAAACATTGTACATTATTTAATCAAAAACCTTTCTACCTTTATATACAACGTATCGTAAGATTGAAAAATATTTTAATTTACTCAAGAGTTAAACTATGTCAGTGTTTAAATTTTAAATTAAATATCTCGCACATTAAGATTCGAGAGTATTCAGCATGAAAATAAACTTACGATATTGAAAAAGAGCAACATTTTTGTGAAATATAAACACTAATTGTAAGTAAAAAATATGTCTAAAAATAACAAAACTAAAAAAAAAACAATGTCAAATCAAGACAGAACGTTCCATCGAAATCGAGATAAATATTGTTTGGCATTCACAGTTCATTGCCTATGAGAATTAAAGGTTGTTGACTCATTCGAATAGCACGTAAGGCAGAGAGGAGTAAGATGCAGAGGTGTGGCTGCAGCAGTTCCACGTCTTTCTCACTAGTTCTCGTCTCATCTCAATCGGCCGCTTTTACTGCAAATTGCTTCCTCGATAAGATATATAAGCACTTACCGCGATGCGGTGTACGTACAATATACATATATATGCATGCACATCGAATGCGCAACCGGCGCTCATTAGAAAAAACGAAGAAAAAGTCGGCCGACTGATGCACGCGATGTGCGGCAAACACGGTCAACCTTATGCACCGTGAGCTGCAGCGTGCGATGCAATAATTATTGTGCCACACATTCTTCCTCAAGAAAGCGGCAAATTAATTCGCTTTACGTTCATCGGCCAATCTTTGCCAACGTCCGGGCTAGCATTGAGAGCTTTCCATTCCTAGTATATGTAATATATATAACATTACGATCATACGTATTTTTTTTTGACGTTGCGGTGTATACAAAGACGTAATATCTGATGGATTTATCATTTGCAGATATACGATATAAATTATATATATCCCATCTGTGTGTATCGTTGCTTGATCAATCATTGCTTGTTTCATTTAGCAAATCAGAAATCATTAAGTTTTACCGCGAGAGTTAATTAGATCGTCAGGAAGAATGAAGTAGAGCAAATCAATTTGTGTGTGTCCACAAGATAATTACGAGACGTAATACTTTTGTCAATAAGAGTTAGATAAACGTGTCTATAGGCGCAAAATGTGTTTAATATCGTTATCGATAGAAAAGATCGCTTCGATAAGCTGCATTCCTTTTACTCTCTCGAATATCAGATGGATACGTAAATCATTGCGTTTGTCCGAACAGTTCGAGAGGAAAATTAATTATCTATAAACGATATTTTAACGAGCCTACTCTTGAATCTAATTAATGTTTAACGCAATTTATTTGCACATTTGTGTGTTATTATTCTCTCTCCGGTATATATAATGTAACATAATAAAGTGCAATTGTATTGACGTCAAAAGAAATAAATACTACCGAGTTTCTAGAGCGTGAAAATATTAATAAGACAGCGCAAAAAAAAAAAAAAAAGAAATGCGCAAATTTTCATGTTAATATGACCAAAAGTTATTAATCAGTGAGAAATAATTAAATGTTTTACGATTGTTCAAAAATTTAAATATATTTAAATATATATATAATTAAATAAATTTAAATATATTTATGTAATATTTTAATATATTAAAATTTAAACATATTTTTTCTTTCTTTTCTTTCGTAAGAAATTTAGAAATAAATTCTACAATAACATCGAGATAAATTTAGAATATTATAAAGTGTTTGTTTCAATTATTAGATCTTATACTTTATATGATTGAAACAAAGGTCAGCTCAGATCGATTTAACTTTAAATTAAATTACCGCTTAGTTTGAAAGACGACAAAGACGATAAAGTTTGCCTATGGCTTTATTTCTCCGCTAAGAGAAGACCAATTTAAAGATAATACATTTCAAACTAATTGAAGATAAGTTAAAATAATTAATACTACTAAAGACATGAATCTTTTAAAATATTTTTCCGCGTAACAAAAAGGCAATCTAATCAATTACAGATGAAGAAATTTTGGGAAAAATATGACAAAGTAAAATATATTTTCTCTCTCTCTTATTTTCTTTTCTATTTACGATTTCGTGTATAACTAACAGATATTTCACTCGGTCACGTGTAAACAAACACTTTTGTGGTTTCGCAACCGCGTCACGGTCATCTCTCTTAGTTGTTATTTCAGAGGTCTCACGATATATTAGGTCTCACAATGCCTACTGAAGCTTTTTAAATATTATTAATTTGACTATCTTTCAAGAATACATCCTGCGAAGACAATACGACGGCTGTAGAAACACGAGTTTTGTTGCAAAAACAGGATAAGATTATCTGCATTTATCTTTAGATACAAATGAAGAAATAAAGCAGAATTATCATTACACGCTCATACCTACTTTAATTATAATTTTAGCAAAAATAAAAGAAGCTGCCAAATGTTTAACTATTTATACCTCTCATTAAATTACTTTTGTTGCAATTCTTGCTGATAATATAATATTGTAAAAACATACTTTCTACACTTCTTTATAAATTTAATATCCTAAATTTGTAATGCACAACAACGCAATACTCTTACTTCTCTCTCTTTTTGTATTTGTATATAATATTAGATTACAAAATTTATTTTTGACAATTCAATAATGGTATTGCAAAATTTAAAGTTTATTTTAATACGTACTCATAATTATACACTAAGCCATAGTTGACTTTAGATCGTTCCTATTTTTTTCTTAATATCTCTGTTTTAAAAAATTCATATTTATTTATATTACTTTTCTCTCTTTTCGTATTTGTATATAACATTAGATTACAAAATTTATTTTTGACAATTCAATAATGGTATTGCAAAATTTAAAGTTTATTTTAATACATCCTCATAATTATATACTAAGCCATAGTTGACTTTAGATCGTTCCTATTTTTTTCTTAATATCTCTGCTTTAAAAAATTCATATTTATTTATATTACTTTTCTCTCTTTTTGTATTTGTATATAACATTAGATTATAAAATTTATTTTTGGCAATTCAATAATGGTATTGCAAAATTTAAAGTTTATTTTAATACATCCTCACAATTATATACTAAGCTATAGTTGACTTTAGATCGTTCCTATTTTTTTATTAATATCTCTGCTTTAAAAAATTCATATTTATTTATATTACTTTTCTCTCTTTTCTATATAACATTAAATTACAAAATTTATTTTTGACAATTCAATAATGGTATTGCAAAATTTAAAGTTTATTTTAATACATCCTCACAATTATATACTAAGCCATAGTTGACTTTAGATCGTTCCTATTTTTTTCTTAATATCTCTGCTTTAAAAAATTCAATTTATCCGCGTCATCCAGCATGGCCAGAAGCAATACGAGAAAAACTACAAAATTTGTTTTCAATTTACCAACTATACGGAATCAAAATATCGCGGCCATCCGCGTTTGTTAAAACAATACACTTTTTCCCTCGGCTACATCTCACCGGCTGCGTTCTTAAAGCTGGATAGAATTCGGCTCGCGACCGATAGTTTTAAAGAGGAGAGACCGAAACGCGGACGGGGAGAATAAAAAAAGGAAAGATTCGGCGAAAGAGAGCGGCTCATTTAGGCGGCGTCCCGCGCTCGTGCCAAATGTCATCTAATTGCGGCAAGTAGCGGCTGTAACCTTTGCTCGTCGGACACTCTCACAATCATGCATCACGAGGATGACGACGGAGTTCGGCGCTGATGGAGATGTCGACACCGACGCAACCTGCGACAGATACGGCGACGGCGGAAGCTCTCTCGGGTGATTTCGGACAGACGCGCCGCGACGAGATGCGAGGGGGTGGGGGAGGGGGAGGGAAAAAGGGGGAGAGGTACATAGTTGTGCTCGGCATTCGGCTCGGCTAGGGTGGGGCGAGCCGGAACGGGCCGAGGTGACGGGATTCTCGCGGTGTCGAACCCCCTCGTTCGTCCCGATCGTACCGTCGTCGTTCGTCTCTTCCGTTCGTACATCGTCCTCGAAATTCGAAACTTTCGTGCCTGAACTTTACGCTATCGCCGCGCGGCATATCGTCGCGAAGTTAAAGTGCTCGCGCCGTAACGTGACGTCTCCGTTTTGTGTCTCTCTCTTTCTCTTTCTGTGTGTATGTGTGTGCAGCGCTTTTCTGTGCGCGTTTCTCTTCCCTCCGTCTTTCTCGTCCAAGTGGATATTATCCGGTATTTCGATACCGCTACCATCTATAGACTCGTAACACACTTGACGTCGCGGTTTTAAGCTCTCTCGCGAATCGCGACCACGTGACACTCACCTCGTCGCTGCTCTTGCGCATACGGAAGCAGCCCGGCATCGTACTTCCGCGCGAAATTAGCCCCGGCACTTCCTCGATCGCAATACGCGCGACCAAATTCGGAAATACTCCGATTATATCGTCCTCTCCTTTTACGGATATCTCGTCGCGACAAGTGAATCGATCCGAGTCTTCAACCGGTGCGGCGACGCGAAGACCTTCGCATTCTCGTATATATATATATATATATACGATATATATATAAATATATATATATATATATATACATTAAACGTCGAAATCATCGAGATTATCCTGGATCCAAAGGTGACCATGAAGGACGGAGCTTGCGACGACGCGCCCAAGTCGCAGAAGGTTGTCAACGACCTCGTGCAAGTCTCGATTCCGCTGATGCAGGTAAGCTTACATAAGTCCATACATATATACATATGTATGTACGTCGGTTTTCCCTTCCACTCGACCTGAGAGTGAGAGTCGAGGGGGTGGTTGGCGACGACGGAGTCGTTCAACCCTCTCTCGAGTCGGAGACTGCAGTCTAGGAGTCGACATCCCGCGTCGACTCGATTGCGATCGATTTCTGCGACGCCGCAAATCGAAGCGTCAAGCTCTCTTTTTTTTTTTTTTTTTTTTTTTTTCACGTATTGTTTACATCGCCTCTGTGTTCTTTGCATGTTTCTATTCTCGCTCGCGTCCTACATCGACTTTAATCCAAACATTATTAACTGTACATGGTTCGAATTGTCTTGTTTGCGTTTATACTTTTATCCGCGCAACGTGTGCCGACGCAATATTTTCTCTCAGAGTTGACTTTGTGTTTTCTCTTTTATTTTGATGTAATTTTTATACGATTGTAATTCAATTGACGAATAATAATAATAATAGCGCGTGAATATTTAATAAATGTTTTATATTTAATAAGTGTAGAAGAGTATTACGTAACTTATAATTGTAATTAAAAGTTTTTCCTTGTTAATTTTTAAGTCGCAGTCTTGGAATTATGTCTTACGCAAGCGAATTATGTAATCGAAATTTTTCCATAATATTCTTTAATATTTTTCCATAATTGTGAAACAAAAATTAAAGATACATTTTTCGATTATTCTTGAAATTGATCGAATATATAAAATATAATTGACTTTAATTTTAATTTAAGAAGGTGAAGAATTTGGGTTGAAAAACCCAAAATTAAAATCTCGATAATATTGAAGGAGAGCTCCGTCCTCTCCGATTTTGCTGAAATTTTACAATACTGTGTATTTTTGTATATAAAAGAAATTTATACTGAAAAAAATATTACTGTAAAATTACATAATTTTGATGGATTTTTTTTCGTCTCAGCATAGTCATGCAATATTGCTATTCATATATGAAAGATTACAGATTATATGTAATTTCCTATGAAATATATATCTTTATATATTTTCAAAATAAAAAATATTTCACTAAACATGGAATTACACATAGGAAATGCTATAGAATAATTTTATAAATAAAATGGATAAATGCTTATAAAATAAAAATGTTAAATTTAAAATTACATGTGATTTTGCATAAAAATAGTAATTTTAGCTATATATTACAAATATTTTTACATTATGTATTTCCACTTTAAAAAATACTTATGGAAAATAAATTACAGTAATAAGTAATTTTTCCAGTTTTAAACAAGTAATTTTCATATAAAAGTATACATGGCTTTTTTTCAGTATATATTAAAATTGTCGCTTTTAAGTACGAAAAAAATAATAATCGATTCAGATTTTAATATTAAATTTCGGCAAAAATCGGAGAGAATTTTCACAAAGATATTATCCAAAATTTAAATAAAAAATGTTGAGACTTACCGATGTATGATGCGCAGTGGCGGAGTTGTCAACAGTAAAATATAAATACATGAGAATTATATAGTAAAAATTAAAATAATTTATATTACGAAAAATAAAATTATAATTTACAATTAAAATATTTCATTAATAATAAAATAAACCATAAATTAATTATTTACCATATAGTTGCTCCGCCGTTACCCGATGTTACTCCAGGCCCTCTTCTCGTAGAAGAAGCTTCGAAACACTTGCACTCGCGTTACTTTTTTTCGTTAGCGACGCTCGGATTTTAATTATTATAATTTTGACACGTTTCGGTAAAACGCGAGAATTTATTCGCGCGCGAACCGAGATCTCCGTTTTCGTGTCATCGGTTTTTTCAAGGCCCTTTATCAGGAGACCCCATTGAACGACGATGACGACTTTCCTCGCGACGCACCCAGGAGTCGCCGATATTCCCGAATTGGTCACTTCACTACACTTCGCTATTTCACTAAATATTCGACGACGAAGTAGTCATGGAAATTACGAAGGAGCTTCAGCGATTATTTCTTGTCATTTAATGAAGTGACCGATATCAGCGACTCTTGGGTGCGTCATCGTCGTTTGATGAGGCCCTCCGATAAGTGGCCTTGAAAAAACCGATCACACGAAAATGGAGATCTCGGTTCGCGCGCAAATAAATTCTCGCGTTTTACCAAAACTCGTCAAAATTGTAATAATTAAAATCCGGGCGTCGCCGCACATCGCGAACGAAAAAAAATAACGCGAGTGCAAGTGTTTCCAAGTTTTCTTTTACGAGGAGAAAGTCCGGGGTGGCATCGGACAACGACGGAGCAATTACAGGGTAAATAATTAATTTATTACTTATTTTATTATTATTGAAATAATCTCATTGTAAATAATAATTTTATTTTGCGAAATACAAATTGTTTTAAATTTCACTATAATTTTCATGTATTTATATTTTACAGTTTACAACTCCGTTATTGCGCATCGTATCGATGAGTCTCATTATCAATTTTTAAAATAATTCTCTGAAAATTCTCCGATTTTTTCGAAACTTTAATATTAAAATCTGAATTCACTGTAACTTTTTCCATACTTAAGAGCAACAATTCTAATTTACATATTCATGTTTTACACACAAAAACACAATATTGTAAAATTTTGGCAAAATTGAAGAAGACGGATCTTCTTTATTATTAAAAAATATCGATTTAAAGTCAGAAAATAAATTATGGTGCAAATCGAAAATACAAAATATTCAGTAGGTGTCTATTATTTAAACCTCGTATCATATGAAAGAGACATAACACAGATTTAGAAAGAGAATATTTTAATAAATTAATTAATACGGTATATCAATATATATCAATCAATACGTACATTATATCAATTAAATACGATATATTATTGCAAAAAAAAATTACATAAAATATATACGATAAATAATTTCAAACGTAAAGACTTATAGATTTTTTTTATTACATAATGTTATATGTAATGCTAAAAAATTAATTGTTTAAATGAAAACTAAATCTATTTTTTACATGAATCAAAAGAATTCGCAAATCAAAGAACGGCTTCTCTTTCTGTATATAGATACATTTCAATAATGTTTGCATGTTTTATTATTTAGATTTAGAATGAGAAATATGTGAGATCCGTCAATTTATAAATAGAGAGATCATCTTTCGCTAATTTTGCGAATGCAGTATTTGAGAGAACATACTCTTTTTTACGCATATCTTAAAATATATTATCAAATCGAAATTTTTTCTTTATCGTATTCGCAAGATAATTTAAGCTGAAGAAGATAATGTCAATTAGGTAAGTGAAATTCAGCCTAATCACATATTCGAACAATTGAATTTAGTAAAATCACAGATATTCTCGAATTTTGGAAATATATTAAGTAGCTACATTGCAAAAAATGGCAAAAAAAGATAAAATGAAAAGTATTCTTCGTTTTTTTCATCTGAAATGAAGAGATTTAAGATGTTTTGATTCAACTGAATAGAAAAGTTTTGCGAAAATTTTCTAAAATATATATTCATATATATTCATAAATATTTATACATTTTTTTCTATTGATAGTGACAAAATAATTATTTACTTTTTATTTATTTATATAAAAAAATATTCTTATAACTTTCTTTTTTGCGTATATCAAATATTATTTTCAATATAAATTTTTATCTATATCTTTCTTTAATTAAAAAAATCTTATTGCATAAATGTAATAATTATATATAAATTCGAAGCTCATTGAAGCGGAAATATCTTATTTTATATGATTTGAAATTATTTATAACAATAATGACAAATACTTTTTTTAGAACATTTTTGCAAGATTTCAACGATATTTTTCATACAACCATATGACTCATATTCTCGCATAATTTGACCGATCGTGGGCGTGGACCCTATAAAGAGTTTCCGTATAAACGCTGTTTTCCGCTTACGTACTTGTGAACGCGTAATTGCGCTCCGATTCGGTCGAGAAGGGAAGCGAACGAAAAAACGCGAGATTTTATAAGAAACGACACTTATTAAATTAGCATAACGGGTGCTCAACCAGCCACGATCTATACGAGGCGTTGGCCAATCAGTGCCCTGGTATGTGTTAATTTGCCGACCGCATGCAGTTTCAACGAAAGGTGACGTTTATCACGTGGTTGGCCACGCGACATTGCCCGTGTTCGCCGCGGGATTTTGCATATACATATTATATTCATACACATAACAGATGTACGTATGCATATATTCTATTTAAATCCGTGACCGATTCGCGATCGCGTTTTTTTCCATCAATTGGTTGATTATTGAATTTTTGCACGCGGATGGATGAGTATTCACATGATATTTTACACATGCTTGATACCTGATACCTGTGTATCATATGATATTAATATTTATTACACGCATTTTATTATATGCAGATCAATTACTGTGTTAATACCTCAAGCGGAACTTAAAACATAAATAAAATTTAAATTGTTTCTCCACTCACCGATGTATATGTATATTTAAAGTATATGGTTCTCTTGCGGTTCTAAGTTTACGTAAGAGAAATATTGTTCGCATTGGTTTCTTGCGGGCGTAGGTAGAAATAGATAAAAAGGACTCTCTATTTTAAAAACGAAGCTTTCTTACTTTCCCATTTTTAACTTGTATGATAGTATGTTCTTATGCATATTCCCCAAGGTTATTTTTCATTCAGTATTATATAACTTCCTGATATAAGAAATATTATATAACATGTGTTAAAAAACATTGAAATATAAACCGAAACATAACAATATAACGAACAATCTAGAATCTTTTTTTAACACTCTAAATTTTAGCCTATAGCATCAACGTATTTAAATAACAAATAATTTTCCACGATTAAGGGGTCATACGTGATAAGATAATTATTTACTTACACTTACATAGTAAAAAAGAGAATAATCATATCATATGATATCATTAACGTTTTTTAAAGCGGTGATTTAAAACAAATTTGCTTTATGTTCATTAAGTAAGGAAAAATATTTTTTGAATAAAAGATTTCTCTAAAATAAT